GAGAGAGAGAGAGAGAGAGAGAGAGAGAGAGAGAGAGAGAGAGAGAGAGAGAGAGAGAGAGAGAGAGATTATAAGGCACCGTGTGACCCTTCTGCACCCTGCGCATCTTACTGGTCATAGCGAGATCCGTCAGGTCTCCACCGGTGAGCTCCATAGGAATATTTGACATCATTCGCTAAATTCTGTTGCTAACTTGCTAGTAAAGCAAATGGGTATGTACGAGCCTCTTCAGCGCTACCACGCACTTGTCTGCTGCCATGGCTACCAATCCATCCTCATCATGAGTGCATCAAGGCCAGAATGATAGCTTGTATACATTATTGATCAGGGTGCATTGGGGTTGGGGGGGGGGGGGGGTAGGGAAGAAGATGGTAGAGGTCATTGTTCCTGACAATGATCGAAAACCTTCTTTTGAGTTTAAAAACTTCTTTTTTCAGTTCTTTTTTTTTATAGTATGCGTATTCTTTCGGTGAGCATCTCACAGTCGAGCAGAGTACACAGGTGTTCTGGATCCACTTTTGTCCTTTTTTTTTTTGTGTTAACATCTGGTTGCATCTGGGTAGTCGAAATCATTTGCATGACGATGTATATGATGTCTAATGTGGTTGAATTTCATGACAAGACTACTTGAGTGTGGTTCCCACTCTGTTCTACTGCATCTGGATTCGAACTCAGGTCTGTATATCGACAGTTCATGGGTGTGCGAACTGAGCTAGTCCATCAGCAGGTTGCAGGTTCGATTCCTGGAGTGGGCAATTTCGTTTCATTCAAGAGATTGGACTTGAACGTGGAAGGTAATGGATGGAATGAGTCATCTTTTTGTCGTGTTCTAGCTCTGGACCCTTATACTTCGATGATACCCTGTTTTACTGCAATGAACAGATCTATTGGCCAATGGTTTTGGATGAACTACAAGTCTCCTTCCACGTGGAGCCAAGACAGATACTTGATGCTGCTCCTTTAGGCAGAATCCCCGGTGGTATGGGTATGCACAATACACCCCCCTTGGACAAACATCTTGGTGGTGTTTGGCTGCCTGGGGCTATGCTCAATGCTGCAGAGTGTTGCTTGATGAACGGCTCAGATGATCGCACAGCAATCGTCTGGCAGGATGAAGGGAGAGAGAACTTGCATAAAATGTCGCTGGCAGAGCTTCGCTCGCAGTGCAGGTCAGTGGGAAGGATGTGCTGAGCCTTCCTTTCAACGGAAACCTTTCCCGTTGCCTACCTCTGTTTGTCTTCTCTTCTTCTTCTTTTTGGCCATTTCTTGTTCTTGCTGTGTGCCTACACCACCTCCTATTTCGCTTTATGTATGTATGACAGGTAGTCATTACACTTCGGGCACAATTTTCCGCGCTTTGTGATTACTCCATCTCCACCGGCCTCAAATACTGAGAAGTATTCTCTCCCTCCTCCTTTCCTCCCTTCCTATAGAAAGAAGTTTGGAAGAGAAGGCAAGAATGCAATGCTAGTTGCTACCGTGGCACCATTTCTTACCCTTTTTCTCTCTCCCCAGGTGTCGGCAGAATACGAATATGAGTTGCTCCCCATTCAAATTCTCCTGTTCCCCTGCCTCTTGTCCCCTCTTTCCTGATCTCTTCTGTCCCTGTCTCTTATACACATCTAGATGTGTATAAGAGACAGGAATACGAATATGAGTTGCTCCCCATTCAAATTCTCCTGTTCCCCTGCCTCTTGTCCCCTCTTTCCTGATCTCTTCTGTCCTTCCCCTCCCTCCATCTCCCCCCCCTCTTCCTCCCTCCCCCCCCCCCCCCCCCCCCCCCCCCCCTCCCCCCCCCCCCCCCCCCCCCCCCCAACCACCTCTCCTCCCATTTCTGATTCTTTTCTAGGCATCTTCTGGAAAAGGCTGGTAAGTAAGCCGTATGCTTAGTATGGGCAAAATGACATCATGAACGCTGGCGCTTGCATGAATGGACTACATGGATTGCTATGGAATACCTTTGCTTGGAAAGAAATGAATGTTTTAATGAAATAAACTTTAATAAAGTGAATTCAATTGAATTCCTCATTGTGTAAAGAGAATCATCCAAGTGTGAAAATAAGTGAACAAGTGTTGGAATGACTCTTGTTTGCCTCTTGTTTGGCTTTGTTCAGCTCTGTGGCCTTTGCATTAAATGCAGCAGGTTTTCAGAAAGGAGATGCAGTTGCTATTAGCATGCCCATGACAGTGCAATCAGTGGTCATATATCTTGGAGTCGTCCTTGCTGGGTGTGTAGTTGTGTCGATTCCAGACAGCCTCCCGGCTCACCAAATCGCAACACGTCTTAAGATCTCGGATGCGAAGGCCACATTCACTCAGGTGGGTTATCAGCTTCTCACTTTTGCTCGACAAGCTCTGTCGACGTGAATCTGCACTCTCCGTGCTTTTTTTCCCGGGCACCATCTCCCCGGTCTTCACCCGAATAGAACATACGGTCGTTACAGCTGTATCTAGACTGAAGTTGGCCCAAATGCAGGTACAATTACTGCACGTTCTGTTCGGGTGAAGACGGTAGCGAAGTTTAGGCCCCATATCCTACCTTCAGTGATAGTTAATGATCTTTCTGGTAATAGTTTAGTATTCCTTGTTGACATTTTCTTTCACATTCTTTTTGTTTATTTTGCTTCCCCGTACTTGTTGAGTATAGGCAAGCTGCAGTGTTACTCCCTGAGCTCAGTGACTGGGCTTGAATACATGAGGTCGTTGCTGTGTCAAACGCCTGGTTTGCAACTTTGCATTTATTTGTAAGTTATGTGATGAATACATAATAGACATGGTTGTGGCAGACCACGCCCAGGACTGTATCTCGATGCAGGACACCAGCCTGGCGGATTGGATCCGGTCATCTAGACAGATACGGACACAGGACACCAATCTGGATGGATACATAATAGACATGTTTGTGGTCCAACTCCGGACCTGTCTGGATCATGTGCACAGATGTGGAGTCTGTGGACATACCTCTCCGGATTCCTTTTTTTTTTTTCCATTTTTTTTTCGTTAAAAAACACGAGCTTTATATGTTATGAAAAATGACCGAGGCCGGGGTCCTCACAATTTAACCAGGGGTTATCCTGGGAGCAATACCCAGTTTAGCTTACGAGCATCTGCTCGCCCCAGATCTCCTTTGAAACTCTTATAACCCTCTGTGCGCCTCTCAGGTTTCTCCAGCTGTCAGATAATTATGAGACTCAAGAGCAGTGGGTTGAACCCCGGGGGTTCGTGTGTCACCATCCCTATTGTAAGTTGACCTGTTAAACCGCCAGTACCTTCCCCATATGTCGGCCGTTGGCCCTGCTTGCCAAGTATTTGGGATGAATCTGGTCAGCGCGTGTGCCCGGGGACGGCCTCCATGTTAACCGGAGGGCAATTTTTGTTGCCTGGGAATGGTACTGGCGGTTTAAACCCCGCAGATCCCTTTGGCCCTCTCTGCTATGGCATACTAAGCTCTTAAACCCTGACCCCAGTACATGCACAGTCCGTCTCCTTTTAGAACACCCTACCTCCTGCTGTACCCTATCCTTTCTTCTCTGTTTTTTAAGGAAGGAAATCTCTACACCCTATCTCTGGCAAATTGTGGCAATCCTCCGACCTCGATTGCGCCCGGATTCCTGTTCGGAATCTTCGGATATGAAACGAGAAAAAGAAAAGAAAAGAAAACCATTCTTTTTTTTAGTTGGAAAGGCCTGTGGGAAGTCGTGGAAGCAAGGTTGGGAGAGGTCTAGGAAAGGCCTGGGAAAGGTTTAAACGTTAAAGTTAAAACATTTAGAGGGGCGTACATCAGAGGGGGAGGCATGCTTGGGAAGTTGGGATGCCAAACAACGTACGTTGGAAAGAGTAAACTCGGCAAAGAATCGCACATTCCAAAGAATCACGAGTTCACAACTCAACGCAAACATAAGAAGGGTTGCCTAGGATAGCTGATGATGACAACAGAAATTAGGAAGGCTCCACTCTAGGTCTTACATTTCACAGTAAATGCAGAGCATTCATGACTTGTGGCTCCATGCCACGCTACCCTGCTACCTCACTGTGCATGTATGGACAATAGCCATTCCCACATATCTTTATACTTCCACGGCCTCACACACAACTCTCCTCATACCCCAGTTGAGGACTTGTGATAGAGCGGTGAGGTTCATTTTTTTTTTGACGTGCAAAATGGTGGCGATAAGTTAACGAAGTTCAAACAGGAATTGGAAAGTAAAGACGAGCCTATTACGAAAGGCCTACATGCGGCCCTGTTTCAACAGCAGACAGGGCCACTTTAAAAACGAGGCTGTGTTATTGCAGGGCAGCTCAGGGCATGAAAAAATGCTCTGGGCCTCCCAAAAGAAATTTCAGCCCATTCCAAGTGGGATCTGGACCCAGTATCTGGACACCGGACTCCAGTTGGTCCAGATAGCGATCCGGTCCGGATGTCTGGATCGCTATCACGGTCATAGATAATGTATTTTTTTCGGTAGCGATAACAGTTAATGTATTGTTTCAACCATCTTCTTTTTCCTTCTCCTCTCGTTTTTCTTCTTTTGTTTCGACCATGAGATGTCATCCGAATCTTGGTTTTGTTTCGTTTTTTTTTCAATACAAAAAACAGGTTTTTATTGTCATGGCTCCTTGTCCGAAGACATTTCTTGTTTGGGAGAAGTAAAAATATTATGAGCAGTTGGGAAATAGTGCCCAACCTGCCACTTTCATCTCGGCATGAACTATTGTCTATGAGATCGGTACCATTGTCTATGAAATCGGTACCATTGTCTATAAAATCAGTACCATCGTCTATGAAATGCATTGAAATCAATACCACAGTCTACGGAATCAGCACCCTTGTATATGGAATCGGTACCATTATCTATACAGTAAGTAGTAAGTACCCTTGTCTATGGAATTCGTTGCCGTCTTAGGGTTATGTTTTCAACTTTTCAGTGACAGATGCGGAACTATGGGCCTTATAACGGGCCCTACAATCTGTCGATTTTCCCTTTTTCCCATCTCACCCCTATTAGGCAAATGCTTCTGTGACTTCTTTACTGTGCAACACGGCTAAATACAATCTCTTTCATGTGGGTTTCGAACCCCAGGAGCCAGAATTTGCTCATTCTGCAATGTGATGTTTTGCATCCGGATTGTTGTTTTTTCCCTGCCTTTCCTTTTCTTTTCTTTTCATGAAACATTGCTCAGTTTTTTTTGACATTGCTCGTGACTGTTGCCAAATTTTGAAATTTCCTTCCAAAATTTTCCACGCTGCTGGTATTCTTTCTTCAGCATGCAACATCTCTGACATCTCTGGCAAACAGGATGTCATTTTGCGCGGAGCAAAGGTGCTTCCTCTTTACAGGTGAGATAAAGTGAACGTCGAGCATCTTCCTGCAATCATTGCTCTCTCTCTGGTTATTGGAACCATTGCCTCCTTTGTTCCTTGAGTGCTGCCCCCTGCTTCCCGCTTTCTGGCCTTGGATCTCAGCTCTCTGTCTGTCTGTCTGTCTGTCGGTCGTCGCTCTGTTCGCCCGTCCGTCCGTCTGTCCGTCTGTCGGTCCGCTGTTCCGTCAGTCTGTCGGTTGGTCCACCCGTGCATCGGTCAGTCGGTTGGTCTGTCGTTCTGTCTGTCTGTCCCCATACCTTCTCCTCTTCCTCCTCTCTCTCTCTCTCTCTCTCTCTCTCTCTCTCTCTCTCTCTCTCTCTCTCTCTCTCTCACAC